GATAGTTGTCTGTTTTAAGTTCAAACACTCAGCTTAAAAAAATCAAAAGAAGGAAAAAAGAAACAATAATCATTTTTATTAATCTTTTAACAATGTGTAAAGCCTGAACCATGATACAATTGCCAAAAACTGGAGTGTTTATTGAACTTTCTGACCATTTTTTTTGCTACACCTGGCATTTTTGTGTAAGTTATTCAGGAAAAAAAACAAACATAAAATGACGTAGCTGTCTCAAAAACTGGCAAAAACCTCGTGTATCAAATACATTTCACTTGGTGTTACAGGGTTAAAATTAGAAATGTGTCTTTTTCTTTTCACTGATAAGAAGTTTACATGCCTAATTAAGACCACAAGCAAAACAATTATAAAAAACACACAGATGACTGATCTCCATCACTCATGCCGCCCTGTATGAGAGCTGAAGGCCACTTTAATACTGTAGATATTTTTATATTTGTCGTGTTTTTAACACCCGAATCCAACACTCTGGAACCTCTTTTCTTATTGTGACCTTTAACCCTAAAGTGTTTGTGTAAGGAGGTTGTCAAACCAGATGTTTTTTTAGATGTTGCATCCATCACAGAAGCAGCTGGATCCACTGGCCTGCATGTATTTTAAAGCAGCTGTGCCATCCTGTCCCAGACACAACACATCATCCAGATGTGACTCCGATTATCGGCAATTGTGCATTGCGTGTAAACATTGATCAGTGGATGTGTTCAGGAGTTTTCCAGACATTTCTGAATCTCCAGTCATTTTTAAGAGGGCTGTTTGTGTTTTACCAATGGATTTATATTTTTTTAGTATACTGTACAGTGTCATATTTATGCTGTCTTTATTAGTAGCCAGTAAGTGCCACTAGAGCCAGTTTAAATTCCAACATTTTACACAATATTTTATTATATACTGAACTACTAATAGCCACGATTTTTAATATTTATAGTCTTCAATTTAAAAACAAAAATTTCCTCTAAAAGTTGGTTTAACCCCTTAGCAGTCCTATTAGTCCCCTAAACCATCCAATGTCCCGTGGGCGGTACGTCCGACTGCTAACAGTTTAACAGATCTATAGAGCATGGACTCATTATAAAACATATCAAACTTCTGGTGTAACATTTTTCTGATTAAATTTGTGCAAAATAAACAAAATGTTAAATGTATGAATGCTTAAAAAAAAAAAAAAAAAGCAGCTTCCTCATTTCCACACAATAATCAAAGAGACTAATTAATCTTTGACTTGGAGATCTGCTGAGAACACCTGGGTAATAGAGGGAAAAAACAGGTTGTCTTTTTGACCGTCGTTGGAAAAACTGCAGGCAGCCATGAGCTGTGGAGCTGAAGGACAGAACTGAAGGACAGGTAGAGGTAGAAACAAGCTCATCTGGCTGTGTTTCATATAAAAAGTAAATAGGAAACAGATCAGGGTTATCAGGACTACTGGGAGTCAAGCTGGTCATCTAAGCAGAAGGTTAGCAGTTTGAGGCTTCTTCAATCCAAATGTTCAAGTGTACACGATGCATTGGACATTTCTTCTTCACTCCCGTTTTTCACTCGCTATGTGTTTATACACCACTCCGCATTTAATCATTAGTTTCTCTTCTGCAGTGTGTCTTTTTTCCTGTCTGCCTACCCTCCACCCTAACCACAGCAACAGATAGGTGCCCCTCCCTGAGCCTTGTTCTACTGGAGGTTTCTTCCTGTAAACCGGGAATTTTCCTTCCCACTCCTGCCAAGGCCTTGGTCATGGGGGTCACTGGATCGATGGGGTTCTCTCTGTTATTGTAGGGTCTTTACCTTACAATGTAAATCCCTTTAAGGCGACTATACAAAAACAGCTGAGCAATGATGCAATCAGTTTCAGATTGTGAATTATTTTCAGTGCTTGTTATCTTTGGTTCACAGTGTTAACATGTTTGCGATCAATTGACAAATTTTTGAAAACGTAGTTTTTTTTACCGTAAGTTTAAGCATTCACAAACTTGCTACAGTTTAGCAATAATAGTAGTATTTATTCAGTTGCATCATTTCTAAACCCCAATAATTCAAAAAGCAGAGACACTTTGAATCTTCAAATTAAAAATTAATAAAGAAATAAATGAAGATAGATAATTTTGGTTTTTTATGTCATCATCTAGAAGTTTTGAAATTTTAAGATGCATAAATAAAAACTGTAAATTTACATTTAATTTACACTTTTGAGACCAGTCTCAGCCATACTGTTGAGTCTTATTAGGTACCTCCCTGATATCAAATCATCTCAGAAAACACCATTTAAAATGTTGTGGGATTGAAAGATTAGTGTTTGCATGAGTTTATATAAGTTATAGACACTGTTAATATTGATCATTATTGCTTTATGATTGCCATTCACATTCTAGTAGAGATGGCACGATACCACTTTTTTATGTCCGATACCGATATCATAAATTTGGATACCGATATGAATCCGATATAGTGTTTTTTAATAAATAAAACTGTTTTTTTAAATATATTGCTGCATTTTGTATAAGCTCATACTCAAGTTAAAAAACAAACACTAAAGCTATTCTGTTACACCTGTATGCAAAAAATACACTGCACCCAAAATATTTCATAGTTCAGCAATACTGATCAATCTAATAAACTTAAACCTACACCATCCTCCCTATTCTGGTATTTTAAAGAGTACTTAGCAGAAATATTAAGCAACCTAACTAATAGGGCTGCAAGCTCCCAGCAAAAAAAAAAATAGGGAACCACCCTCCACCTCGTGATGCTTAATCGACGTAATCAACTTTAATTTGATGCAGTGTGAAACAAAATGAACAGAAATGAATTATTTTTCGAGAATAATTAAATAGATTCAACATCTTTCTTCAACAGAACTGCAGACTGCACAGATGGTACCTTCCCAAAGGAAAAAGTACTATAGCTTACTAGGGTATATATATTAGACTTAATAGTTACTATATACAGTAATGGACTTCTATACATTTTCCATCAGATTAAAACTGGGTGTAAGATTCAGATAATTAATTATTTAAAGCTAGACATTTTAAATGAGAATAAGAAAGAAAAGTATGTCTTTGTGCCACCTTTTCCCTGTTAATGCCCTATCGGCCCCCCTGGCTAAACTATGCTAGATCCGCCCCTGCACAGTTACCAGCCGTCAGCTACGTAGAAAAAGATCCTCAGTAGAAAGTAATATTAAATAAATTCTAACAACAGCTTATCAAGCTTAAACGTCCTGCTGTTGTTCAACCGCTGGTTTCCTCTTTCTGGCGCGAAGTGGGTCAAAAACAAGCAAGAGAGACGGTCAGAGACGACAGAAAAGCCGATCAGCTGATCATTGATCAGTTTCACGATTAAAGTAGCAGCAGGAGAGGGAGGGAGAGAGAAGAGGCAGTCGCTCCATATATCAGTTGTTAAGCTTAACGCTGGAACGCTTTACAAACATTCAGAGATGAACTTACACACTTGCTTTACTTCTCTCTGGGATAACTTTCTCGGAGATGAAATACTCAACCAGACCACCGACAGGTCTCGCACGCCACAACCGCTCTATCACGTGATGCATACTGCTCCGACATGCCATGTCGCAAGTTTTGTGAGGTGCTTTTTTGATATTTAATGGATCGGATTACATTTTTTATTTCTCTCCGATATCCGATCCAGTAATTTAGGTCAGTATCGGACCGATACGTAATATCGGATCGGTCCATCTCTACATTCTAGCACATTAATTGCAACGTAGCTAAAGAAAATCCACATATAGTCCACGTTTTTGTCTCACTGTAAACATGAATACTTTTATTGATTATATTTAGAAACAGTTGCATAGTACAAAGTAGATCAAGTGCAAAAGAAGCTTCCAAAACTCCCGAGACAGTAGTTTATAGTGCATAATGTTACAGTCGTCCACATTACTCCTTCTAATACAGTTTTTTGCTGCATCCACACAGCATATTGCACAAATTCACTCAAATTCTCCACATTAAAACAAAACAGAATCCAGTGCAGTCGAGCAGTCGTATCAGATTGTCATAAAAGCTGATTTGACTCAAATGAAATGTGGAACAAACGCAGATTTCAGTGTCTTGAGACTGACAGTGCAATTACCGAACGCCACACATCTCCCACTAATTGTTTCTACCCCGACTGACAAAAAGAACAAAAAAATGCTTTTCAGCAACATCCGGCAACACACATTGCACCTGTGCTCATATAGAGCTCATCTCACTCAAACTAAACGCGTACATTATGTGCTATTGTGCAAATATAGCATCAGTACTCGTGTGCACAACACTTCCACAAATAATGCAAATCTAACGCCTCCTACTCGCTTTCTTTTGCATAGATAAAAAGTAAACATTAAGTCGTTTTGATTGGACAAAAGACCTCCTGCTGCGATAATAACTACCTTGATTTTTAAAGTGTGCATCACAATCAGAGTGCAATTTAAAGATTAATAATAGATTACTGAGGTAGCGCCAACCCCACAGTACCTTTTTGTACATTAAAAAAAAACTTTTTTTATGCTAACATATAAGAAGTGTACAGTGAACCAGAGCTTTAATCCAAATTATTTAGTGTGTTTTAAACATTTTTGAGAAACCCTGTCATAAACAGAAGCATAAAAAACACTCACATACACTCACCAAATGATACTGTTAAAAATGCGTTGCACACTGTTGTTGTGACTGTTGTTTATTTTACTATAATTTGTGTTCAACGCTTCGTACCTACATATCTGCGCTTTTTAAATAAACATTACGCACTTACTTATTAGACATAATGTTGATGGACATAAATGTCAAAGAACTTACTTGATGCTTGCAGCGCAGGTAAAATTAAAAACATTTGTCATTGCACTAAAATATCAAATTTAGCTTGTTTCAAGTAATCCAGCCAAACTGATTGTCGACAGTTTGATTGAAACAAAGTTTTACATGAGACAAATTTATTTTAAGGTTAAAAAAATAAGAAAATAATGAGAAGAAAGAAATGTCAATTCTATTCTTAATGTTAAAATCCTCATCTAAAGAGGGATAAATTGCTAGCATTACTATTAATAATTATACTATTTCATATTTACTAGTTTTTGTTTGTATTTTTCCTTTTTCTCTAATTTCCAGAAATATACATAAATCTCAGTGATGAGGCGATGGATTTATTTTGGTGTGTTTGTGTGTGTGTGAGGGAATAATCTAAGCTGTGACCTACATTAAAATCTAGCGCAGATGTTTCCTGAACAGATGCGCAGAGCCTCTCTAAACACACACACACACACACAGTCCACTGTAGCATCCTTCAATCTGAGTTTCCGCTTCACAGTATTCAAGAGTCTGTTTGTTTACTTCATTCAGAGTCATCTGTCTTCTTGTTTCTCTTTGTCGTCAGACTGATAACGACGTTCTCGGGCGCACAGGGACCTCTGCGTCCTTTAACAAGTCCAGGCAGTTTTAACCGTCCACTGTCAGGTTGTCCACTGACAGAAGTTGTTACTGTGTTTGCTTTCTAACAACGGCTAACAACGGTGGTTGATGATGTTGTAGTCCTGTGTGAAACGGGCGTCATCACTGACTCAGAGTCTTTTAGTTGGTGTCTCCCAACGCGAGGCAGATTTGAAGCCTTAAAAGAAGAGATGGAGAGGACGTTAGGAATAGCCCAGTAATGATGTACACATCAGTATACGTAAAGACAAAATATATATATATATATAGGTGTTCATAAGTTTCTGTTGTTATAACAGGAGAAACTGAATATTTTTACCACCAATTGCTCAGATTTAACTGTGTTCTAGTTTACTGCATATACAGTTTGGTTTCCTGCAAGGGTATATGTCCATTTTTCTACACATTTTGTGATGCTGGAGATGTTGTTGATCTGGAGGAGCTGAAGGCAGATTTTCAGGATCAGATCATGTGCAGAGACTCGAGCATTTGTAGGGCTCTGAGCTAAGCCTGACATTAATTATCACAGAGCTCAGCGTTACTGTATTGCCTTCTACGCTATACTGTAAGCTCCCAATCATGCTGCTCATAGATGGTACAATGATAGCAGAAGGAACACACACACACACACACAATCAACCCCTGACAGACAAGAAAAATTCCCTGCAACCCCCAAAACACCCAAACTGCAAAACAATCAAGCTAAACACAAGCTGCTGTTCCAATCATGAACACAACATCTCCTTTCCTTTCCTCCATCATCCCACCATCTTTGTTTCACCCCACAAAGTGTTTTTTTTCCCACGCTTTATTTTTCTCTGTCCTGTTTGTAGCCAGAGAGGAGGAGGAGTGGTGGTGGCTTGAGAAGGTGGAGAATGATGGGGGTAGTGGTGGAGTGTGTGTGTGTGTGTGTGTGTGTATATGGGGGGTGGGGGGGACTGATGAGGTCGTCATGGCAACCCCACATTGGCATGCCCCTGATTGGAGTATGTGGTGGCTAATTATTCAGTGCATATGCTTAAAAAAAAACAATAAAGTAGGACGTATTGAAATGCAGAGCCGAGCATCGCATTGTGTGTGATTAACATATGAGCCCAGCGCCGCTTTTGAAGAGAGGAGCCTCGTTTCCAGCACTTAGTGTATAGCCAACATGCGATTTTAGTGACGCAGTGGTGATGTTTTTAGTAACATTTGATCCGTATGTTTAATTTTTTTTTCAGTTTATGTTAAAAAAAAAATCACATCTGCAGTCATTTAATCGTTAACTTTGGTGACCCTTCTTCATCTTATTGGATAGCGGCATCTAAACAAATGCACGGGAAGGTTAATACTTGTGTATGATGTGATGATCAAGCCAAACTTTACATTGAGGCTGAAACAAACAAACAAACAAGAACAGCATGCTAATGGCCCTTTGAGCGCTGGCATGGCAGGCGCAGTATATATATGTGTGTGTGTGTGTGTGTCAGAGGCAATGGGGATGGAGGGTTTGCTGTGTGAAAGAAACCAAAAGGGTATGGGTTTGTAGGAGGGGGGGTTACGGTAACAATGGCCGGCATTGTTTACCAATCTCCCTCGTCCATTAATCAGGACGATCCGGCTCTAATTGGCGTTTTGGTTAAGCTGGTCTCCAGACCCCCGTTCCCTCCACTGGCCTAAATAATGGCGTTACGCCACAAGTGCCGCCACACATTGGGGAGGACAATGTGTCGCTTGTGTGAGGGCCCAGGATAGGATCCCCACCCTCTTCTCTTCCCCTCCTTTCTTCGTGCCCCCTGCGCCCCCCAAAATAAACCTTACATAGAAACACAAAGAAGGCCTCTCACTATTGAGATCTCACTGTCGCAGGCTCCCCTCTCCCTGTCTGTCTGCCCCCCCACACCCAATCCGACTTCACTCCCCCCTCCTCTGATTTTTTTTCTCACCCGCTACAGTTTTCAACATATAGGAGCTTTATTCTTTCCTGCCAGCTTTAGCTTTAGAGTTGTGGGCTCAGTGATCAGGTAGAAAAACCACATGGGAGGCAATGATTTAAATTCCTGTTAAACTATTTGAATGAATTTACACTGTCCTGTGAACTCCTCTTGACTCCAAATTAAGGGATTGTTCACATGTTCACACTTCAGTATGTGACCTCTTTAGACGCAAATACTGGTGATCAAAGCATACTTGCAAACCCCCCAAAAAAGTAAAACATAAGACTAACATTGCATAATCTTACTGAAAAGCACCACATTTTGATGCAAATTCGAGGTAATTAAGTGTGTTTTTTAATAAAATCTCAAATGCTAGAGCTCCCTTCCTTTTTAGAAATCAGTGTAAGTTAATTAAATTGTCAGATAATTCATGTGGCTACACACCAGCTCATGGATTGTATGCTTGTAATGCTAAAAATAAATAACAAGCCAGAGGAGCTAATATGAACGTAATCTGAGAGCTTCATTTGCGAGCAACAAATGAACAAAACAGAGGTGATATTTTGGGTTATTTATGTCCGTTATTTAGGTTAATTTGCATGTTTCTTCAAAAAATCGGTGCAGCAACACCATTTCTTTGTCAGGCTTTCACACCACAGGGGTTAACTGCTTGTCTGAAGGTTGAGATATTTCTCAGATCCTGTCAAAACCCAATGGTTGGCATCATAATGCATCTTCGTGAAGCCAGAAAAGACAGCATGACCTTTCATCAAATCCGGACAAATTGCGACGTGACGTGTCGTTTAAGGGTTTGAGGTCTTAATTTCCACAAGGAGCGTGCTTTCGTCTGCGAGCCAAATAGGAAATGTGCTGCACATGTGTGAAAACTGTTAAGTGTGAGATTTATGAAGAATGCTGTGTTGCTAATTATGGCTCCTCGAGGGTGTGAGGGAGCATGTAGGTGTTTTTGGGTTTTTTTCTTCTTCTTCACATCATCAAATGAAGCTGTCTGCACGTGCACGCGGCACAAAAACCACGTGGATGTTCCACATGCAGAAATACCACCACTGGTGCAAATGATAACTCTTTGTAATCACAAAAAAAAAAAGCGCTGGTATAATTTAATGTTGCCGAAGCAAAGCAATCCTAAGAGTTTTCCGCAAAATGGTCGGTCTGCAGCGTGACGACGGGCACAGCGAAAAAGCGACGCGGGAACCGCAGCTGCCCCTAAAAATGCCATCTTGTCGACACTCAAAAGCCACGGGCAGCGCGCTTTCCTCCTATCTCATCCCTTCCTGCATGTCTCTTGGGGCGATCTCTACAATTAACACACTGGCAGTAATTAACACTGTCTTGAGGCGACCAATGGCGCGGAAACGATCGGGACCAACATGAAGTGGGGGGAAGGTGCAGCGCTGGCTGTTCACCGCTCAGCTGCCATTTTGTGCCAGTCTTAACACCTAAGATGGTGGCAGGACTGTGACTTGCCGTGTGGAAGAGGAGGACAAACTGGCACGGGAGGGGTCGGAGAAGAGGAGGATTATGGGATTGAAGAGGGAGTCTCTTATTTTCACTCTTGTAGTCGGTGCATTGCTGAACGGTTACCAAGAGAGGTAGGGAAGGAGAAAGAGGCATGATCGGCAGATAGCTGCCCTACACGCACCGCACATAGAGGAGCAATTCTCCCACACATGGACGCACAAAGACGCACACTCACATCACAGAGGAAGAATAAAGTGTTTGTACAGTGTGGACGCCAAACACAACACCCTGTGTTGGTCTGCTCGTTAAAGAAAAGAAAAAAAACGTGTCATTTACATGTGCTTAATATACACAGCACACATGTGCCCATGCATGAACACACACACACACACAAACAACACAGCCGTTCTCATGGTATGGTCTGCCCCTGAGCATGCAAATGACATTCATTATGCAAATGCATACAAATCAGAACCAACCATCTGAGAATCGAAGCTGGGAAAAACCACAAAGAATAAAATTAAATGAAGAGGGGGGGGAGTGGAGGGGTGCTGTTTTGGGTGGGGGGTTACAAAAGTAAGACGGAGCGTGGTGGTGAAAGTGGAGAAAGTACAGTGCGGTCAACCAAAAATAGACAATATAAGCTGCTTCATTAGGCCACAGATACCCAAAGCTGGATAAAAGTCGGTTTTCCGTGTGCAGATGCCAACGAACTCGTACATTTCAGGATCGGCTCAGTAAAGAGGATCTTCCCCAGCAGCCTCATGACTGCTGACGAGGCCCAGATAAACATGCTTTGTGCTTTGTTACATTAATGAAGTCGCGATGGAGCGTAAGAGGTTTGAGAGGAGATGCTGTACATGTGGCTTTAAAGATTTCTATTAAGTATTTCGACAGAGTTACACCAAAGGTGGGATGAGGCATGCGCACACATACACACACATCATCTTTCCTCACTGCCCCTCACTGCTGCCTTGTTTGTGACCATTTCTTTCCTTTAGCAGAAGATCAGCTGCAGAGTGGCATCAACTGGAGTGGAAATGATCCAAATGATGGCAAAGTGCCGCTAATTGCCTCTCAAGGTGGTCTTTGTTTTGTTTCACCTCTCTCGCCACAGCCGCTGCCTCTATAGGACGAGCTCTCTAAAACCCCAGAAGGGCTGCAATTACATTATCAGCCTTTATGAAATGAATCATCCAAACTATTAAAAAAGAGAAATGAAGCCAAACACTGATGAGTCTGAATCTCTCGGCTGGAGATTAGTTTCTGTATTCATGTTCAAAAAATACACGCTGAATAAATGAAAAAGGCCATTATGGGAGGGTGATTGGGAGATACCAACATGTTCTCCTCCCAGGGTGTCACATGCAGCTGGTGCTGCAGGGATCTAACCCAGCCTGGCAGGTGTGTGAATCAAACACCTCTACTATGACCACTGCGACAGAAACACCACATTTGTGCAGATTATCTGGTACAGCTGAGCAAACTCAGCTACCCAAACTGAACAATTGTTTTTGTTTTAGGGTTTTTAAAAAGACTTATGGTCTAAAATGTGCTTATTTTTTTAAATAACTAGATTATTGAGCTAAATTGCTGAGTTTATTCTCACAGCCAAAAACCCTTAAAGCACCTGGCAAAGAAACTTGATTTCACAAGAAACTCGACTGGATCTGACTTCTGATCGAGTGGAGAAAAGAAGACAAAAATGCTGCTATATTACTGCGGACCCGTAATTAGCAGTTTGGGATTGGCCACAAAAAGATTTGAGATAATGAAGCTATCTGAAAAGGTGAAACTAACCCTGGAAAGTGGCTTGTCCTGAAGCGTCAGCATCAGCTGTTTGGAAAGAGTTTGCAAAACAATTTCTTGCAGAGACTCTGAATACATTTAAATTGATCTCAATCGCTTTGGACTTCCTAAAATTGAGGAACACCAATTAAGATCTTTTACTTTCCTAGAGGAAAAGTTCGTTATGGATGTAAATCTGTAAGATCGTTTTGCCAATTTTGGGGCTAATGAGTCATTTTACAGTTCACTGTGAATTCAAGTTCACATTTGGCAAGGACAAGAGAAACCTAAATGTTGCACTCACTCCTGAATGTCAGTCGGAGCTACAGAACGAGAATATCCACGCACTCACTCACCAACCAGCACGAGAACAACTGCAGCAGCACAGGCTACACCCACCACTGTACTATTGCAATTGTTTGTATTGACAACAAGCAGATCTCAGGCATTTTGTGCAAATCAAACACTTACTGTCTTTTTTGCCTCCAGATCCTCCATGAGACACAACACCCCCCTCACCCCCCCTTCTCGTTAGCCCTTATGTAACACAGCATCATACCTTCACGTCATCGCTTAGCAGGATCTTTTGTCCACCTCCCGTCCTCCCGTGCTGCTTCTTTATGTCTCATTTCTGTTGTTTCCTTTTTCCTGTGCAGGCGTGTAATGGGATTCTTGTTACTTTCGGTTATCTAGCTTTATGAAGAATGTACGTCACTCATACAGCTAGATAACCAAAGATAACAGACAACCCCTCAGGCCTGCGGACACCGCTCTCCTCCAGCAACGCGCAGACACACACACACACAACCTCTGATACACCTGTGAGGACAAACAGCGACAGGGGAAAATGCATTAAAGAGCTAATTCAGCAAGACAAAGCTAATTTCCTCCGCCTGCTGCACCGCACGCATTCCAGAGGTGGAAATAATGATAATAATAGTCATATATCTGGAGTGTTAATTGATCACATGGTGTTAAAAACACCTCAGTAAAACGATATGAAAAACAAAGCATGACTAAAGATTCACAGGGGATTCTGCTGGGAAAGCACATTTTCCGAGCTATTAAGTGTTTTTTATATGACTGAAATGTGAGCGTATTCTTTGAGGAATTCAACACAAAGCGTTACAGCCGGCCATCCAGTGAGCTAAAGACAACAACAGTAAAAGTCTTTACGAGGGGGACGGAAGCAGGATGTAAAAATAGCCCTGAGGTGAGTCATACACACAAATATCTTTCATAGGGTCCTAAAGGGAAATCCAGAGAAAAATAAGCATATTTGTTTGTCTTACAGCAGGTAAACACAAAGGTGTGTAAAGTCTTACATGGAATTATTGTAATCCTTAAATTGGTATTCATTATTGTGAAAGAAAGCATTTTCAAGCTGGTGTTAAAATCGAAAACTGTGGCTGAACATTACTAAAATATTACTAATGCAAACTTCCACAGCCTTAAAATATTTCCTGGTGACTTTTGTTTAAAAGAAGTGAAAAATCACTCCTGTCTTATGTAAATATCTACAATCTACCAGCTATAGAACAAACAAACAAAAGCTTTACAAGAAGGTTAAAGGCTTAAAAAATATAAGGGAAAAAAAAATCTAAAGACACTGTTGAATGTGTGGTTTTTATTTAATTATTATTTAGAACCATTAACATCAGACTCCACGTTTTTTATTATTTAAAATAATAGAAGATACAGCCTGTGTGTGACATCCTCCACTGATTTATTTATTTATGGAGTTTTGCTGTCATCATTTTAATAATATTTCTAGATCATTTTGTGAAATAACAGAATAGTCACATAATTATCCAAATGCATAACATCGCATCTCTTTTTAACATTACACTGTAAATTAAAAAAAGAAAAAAAGGTTTTCAATATTTTTTCATGAAGTCTTTGTTGTGTGTGGGGGTTTTTTAATTGGCTTTTAGCGAGAAAGCGAGGATGACGTCACAGGCATCGCTGGCTTTCAATTAATGCGTTAGCAGCGAGGTGTGATGCCTAATTAACACACACGCGCGTACACACTCAGACACGCTATTATGGGGAAGATGTTCTTTGATGCAACATCGTGAAAATAGGCCACAGCTCCCGTCCTCACATCAGAGTCCGCAAAACACACAAAGAGCAGAGCAAACAGGGTGTTTGTTTGCCGGGGTTTTTTATTAAAATAAAAATAAACATGCTTTACGTTTTATTTTGCCCCTGCTCCAAGAGATTTCCGGTAAATGAAGAGAAGTTTTGGATTTTTTGGGGGGATTTTTTGGGGGGATTTTTTTTTTTTTCTCCAGGGGCATCACTGGTGGAGATATAGTGTGGAGGCCGTGACGTGTTAAACATCACTTCGAGGTTCTCTCACCTATACAGCGTGGTTTTTTGATTGTGATTCATTCTCTCCGCTCCATCTGCTGTGTGTGTGTGTGTGTGTGTGTGTGTGTGTGTGTGTGTGTGTGTGTGTGTGTGTGTGTGTCTGAATAATCGTAATATTCCACTTCCTTGTTAGCTGCACTGTGTGTATGTCGGATTTCTGTCTGTAGTAACACCTGTGACAAAATCATTTACCTGTCACCTGACAGAGAGGAAAAATTATTTTTATTATTTTTGTTTTTGATAAATAATTCTATTTTAAAATGTTAATATTTTCATTTCAAGTGTATTGTCTAGATTTCTATGTTGGGTGTTAATTAAAGATATCCACACAGGGTTTATGATTTTAAGCAGCTGGACAATAATTAACTTTTTTTTTATTATTTTAATTAAATATTTTAATCGGCTATATGTATTCATTTACTGTTTATGTAGGCAGCGCATGGGCTGATGCATCGTTTAAAGAGGCAAAAAGAGATAGTTTCATTCAAATAGGTTTTCTGTCCCTGAAGGGAAATTACACTGAAGTTTCTGTTAGAGGTAACTTGGCGGCGATGCTGTATAAAATGTTCTGCTTTAACAGATTTCTGGGACCATAAAAGGCTGTAAATGATGAAAATTTGTGCTTCCCTAAAGATTGTTTTTTTGTTGTTGTTTGTTGTTGTTGGGGGGTTTTTTTGGGGGGATTCCAAGAATCACCGCGTTGCTGCTGCTGCGGATCTTTCGTTTAGGTGTTGGTGAAGAAGATAAACAGACGGGTTTTTTTTTTTTTAACGTTTTTCTTAAACTGCAATCCAGTTTAAATCACCTGCAGAGTCATCGGGAAGTGAAGATGGTGGAATCATTTATATTCACCTGAAGGTTGGAGAAGAGCCTGGAGTTCCTTTCTGATGTTTTTAAATGTGAGTTTCTGCAGAAAAAAATGTTAAAGAAAATCAGTTATTTGAATAAAACTACGACAAATGTAATAATAACGGGCTGACTTTGAACTCAATTCCACCACGTGAATGGGATCCCTCTCCTCACTCTGTCGTTGGAAAATCCCTGGAAAGCACCCTAGGTGGGAAATCTGCCTACTCGGCTCCTGACAGCTACAAACTCGGCCTGTGTGTGTGTGTGTGTGTGTGTGTGTGTGTGTGTGTGTGTGTGTGTGTGTGTGTGTGTGTG